CCCTTGGGTTGCAACAAGTCTATTTCTTGATATTATGGTATATTCATGGATTATGTTCGCTTATTTTATACCAGTTCTAGTGATGTTAATCAGTCATATATGGGTAATACATATTATTAGAAAATTTCATTCATCTCGTCATACTTGTATATCACATAACAATGAGTCAACTTTACATATTAGGCGTAAAATAAGTCAGTTAGTTATAACGACAGCAATTTTATCAGGTCAACTCGCTTTATTGCATTCATATGAGTCTATACGTCAAATATTAATTGCAAATAAAATTATGGCTTATAACTATCAATCAATAACTGGACATTTAGGTCCTATATTAATATTATTAGGTTGCGTTTTAAATCCATGTGTACTTATACTTACTACAGCTACCTTAAGAAGACGTTTATCGGTATCAATAAAAGTTTTTACAGAAAAGATGAGTATTACTGGAAAAAAGGATAGATCTTCAAGTTGATCAATTCATTAAATATAGATTTATCAGTATGTTTCTGATCGAACACAATTAATGTTATAGATAATAATATCAACAAGACAAATATTTGGTTTTGATGGAGTTTTGTTCTCTGAGCTGAATGGTTTGGTCGTGCAGCTTTCATCGTCCTTCCGAACGGCATCATCAGATAGAAGTCTGAAGTTTGTTCTGATGATGTCGTTCAGAAGAACGATGAAAGCTGCACAACCAAACCATTCAGCTTAGAGAAGAAAACTCCATCAAAATTATCCACCTGAGCTACAAATCTTCTTCACCATCTCAAATATTTGGTACAATAGATTATACTGATCTGTACCATTTCCATCATTATTAACAACGATAGAAGCATATATTTCTTGCATTCCCCACATACATTTTTCTTTTATCAATACCCATTCGTTAATTTATCTCAATATTGATGTAAACCGAAATTTTCAAATTTCTGACTATGAGTTTGTACGAATTTTTAACCAAGTTACATAGATACATTTATATCTCAATTAGTCCATAAATATAACCTAATATATATACATTGTAATGACTACCAAATTTATTTATCAAAATTGATTCAGAAAATAAACAACCCCTGTGAAAATACCTTTTTTAATCAAAGAACTGAATATTTATTTTATAAGATAGCAACAAGAATGATTGTCAATCAATGATCGATGTTGTATGTTGATAAAAAGCAAACAAACAAAAAAAAACGAAATTTATGACTGAAAACCTTAAATACTGATTATATATGTATATCTGTATATCATTTTGAAGTGTTTCATTATATTTATATTTTTTTTTATTTCAATGTGTTGAAAGAATCTTTATTTTATTCCATTCTTTTTTCCTTCATGTGAATTTATGTGTTGATTTTGAAAATACCTTCAATCAAGAATATGTTATACAGGTATACTTTCATATATAGTCAGGAAAATGATCATAAATATCTCAGTGATCTAATGTCCAACCATAAAAAGAATTATTCAACAAGAAATCTCAAATTCAATTTCGCTCCATTCATATCAGTTTGAATAGCCAAAACAGTATTTTTCAAACAAATACATTTATACTTGGTAAATAAATTATTTCATATTTATTATATAAATTTTAACGATCCAATTATTGTAATTCTCAAGTTTTATCCCCATCATGACGGCTGATTTTGTCCTGTAGATAGACACGTTTCTGTTCTTCGCCATTAATATTCTATTTGATTGTATTGTAATAAGTTATTTTAAAAAAATGGATAGATTAGGGCGTGTAGTAGTGATGAGATTTATCTATTTAGTTTTCTTTTTTTTAAACAAAAGCACTTGAAAAAGTATAAATTATTTTGCATAGATAATGCGATTTATTGATACTTCATTTTTGGAATTATTCCTTAATATTATTATTACTTAATATTGTTAAGTAGTTATTCTTGTATATTAGTTACATAGTAGATTTCATTTAAATCCTGGAGCTATGATTTTGATAATCTAGTTAGTCAATTGTTAAGAGTTGATAGTTGATACGTTTCTGTTTTCATAATTCATGCCTTTTATATACTGATTTTGGCCATATGATAAAATAGAAACCGATATGGAGATTATTGATTATTTATTGAACTAAGCTGTTTTAGATAAGTGAATAAACAAATAGATGAGACAAGCTGAATTTTCATCTTTATTTATAACCATCCCATCTCTTAAAATAAATGTTATTGAAACTTCTTTGTTGATATTAAATGGTTAGAGATTCTGTTTTAATTGTCATGTTTGGTCGTCACTAACTGTTATATTGCAATTACTTATTATTTATACTCGTAGAACGAGGGACCATTGTAATTCCCACGACCCAAAATAAGAACACCAAAATTGGTACAAGTGAAGATTTATTAAAACTAAAACACGACTATCCTAGTCAAAAATACACTTGTACACCCATTTTGATCATTAATTAAGATGAAATAACGTATGTGAAAAGTATCTAGAGTTATAACAAATCATATGCTGCATGTCATGTCAATGTAATACAAGAATATCGTATCTTGACTTGAATAAACATTACACTCAAATAGATAAATGTCATACCAAATAAAATACCATACTGGAAAAGAAATACTAATCATTACATTGAATTAAAACAGAAGTAATGTTAAACAAAAATTCACAATAAGTAAACTAATTAAATTTTGCTTTTAAATCCCGTCATATCAATAATTGCTATATTCCCATTTTTATTTCAAGCAGAACCCACTGGAGAGATATAGAACGCTAGATGCGTTGTGGAGAATGACAGAGCTTGAAATATTAGAGATCGGGTAGACAGATAATGAAAACACTTGAAATTTAGAATAAATTATGTTATATGTTATGTTGAAATTTAAGGTCATTAAACTGATGTTAAAATTGAATTATCTGGATAATTTATGCTACCACAGATTAGTTAAGAGACAGGAATATTCTATTAATCTTTATAGGAAAATAGTACTTCTTAAGGAGTGAAATAATTCAGTGGTATTCATTCTTAAGCTAATTAAAAAAATGCAAAATAAGATGGAAATCTATTCTTAGTTAAATACAAAACTAAAGGAGTTTGTTGGAGTGACCCACTCATCAAAACAGCCTATAGAATAAACCAGAGGAGGAAATCGAACTAACAAAACTATCTGTTGGATATTACATAACACTCAAGAACAATGAGAAATTTGCATCGAAATGGTCGGAGGCAAGCTACTTAGAAAGTGTTTAAGGGAACCAAAGGAATTTATGTAAAATTAATAAAAAAAATGATATTCGGGACTGAACTTAGTCTGATATCAAATTGACTTGAGTAACTTATCTATACTCATTTTCTGACATTAGGTACACAAATGCGATCTGTTCAGAAATACAGTCTCTAAGTTAACTACTCAAACGTTCGCTCTGTTTTACTCTATGGATGAGAAGTTGAATACTATAAACAAGTTTAGTAATGTAGCCGAATAGCACCTAGTCTATACACATATGTCCTTATAAATCAATTTCAAGAAAGGATACTGTAGTGTCTGTCATTATGTTAAGCCCAAATACCTTATTATTCTAACTTTCGGACAGCTCATTCTATTCATTCTATTTGAGTCACATTCTGACCTTGTTAATTATTCGCTTATCAATATCTTGACCGTCTTTATATGAGCGCGTAGGTGTATGTACACTTCTTATCCCATTACTCATCACATGTCTGTAATTTATTTTTGTGTGCTTGTAAATATTGATTAACGCTTGGTTAAATGGGAGTTAACTTACCAGCCATCTCCACCGCGTGTCATTTTTGCTTCGCTTTCTCCTCTTCGCATTGTTTCCCCGTTCGTTTGTCTGGATCAACGATTACACAAAATATATGCATTCAGAAGTTCATTCTCCTTATTTGACTTATTTAATTCCGTTACTGACTAACGCGATTTAAGTCAATGATTATATACGAGGATAGGCGACATTTGTATTTCAACAACAAACATCATTACGATCTATTGGAGTCAGATCTCGGGCTACTAAAATACAGAAGTTGTAAAGAAAAATGCAGCCCAACAGCTTAGTATTGTTACTAAGGATATTATACATAAAACTAAAGATACCAATGATGATTCGATCCATGATATACATATGTCCGCTCAATACCATTAGAACTCTGAATCCATCATTTAAAGGGAATAATTAAGAATAAAAACTTAGATGTATGCTATTGATATGTGGATAAAGTTTTATTTAGATCAGTAGATTAACTACTTCATAGTCTCATGTTTTTAAACACTCCATGTTTCACGGAGATTAATGCTTAGACCTAAATATAATTATTGAGGGCTTTTTTACTTACTACTAAACTACAATAAAGACAAAACCAATTAATATTCATACTTATTTTACAAATGATTTTGAGTATAAACATTTTCTTCCCTAAAAATATTCAATGAACCATTTTGACCAAGATTTGATTGGTTATATATATATATATATATATATATATATATATATATATATATATATATATATATATATATATTCAATTGCTAGAAATCTTATTTTGAAATTCATTTCATAGTAAATTAAAAGAAGAGAACTGGACAATGAATGAAACTGTTTACGTTACTTTACCTATCCGGATTATTGTTATAATTGAAGGAATAATTGGTACAATATTCAACATGGTTGCGATAGTTGTTATTTTTAGAGTGACCATAGGTTCTAAATTCACTTTATTCTTACTAAGAACTCAATCTTTACTTGACTTCAGTGCATGTTTCTCAGCAGCTGTTTATTATATAATTCAATCCACCAATATCTATAACAAACACACTGGCTTATACATTATCGATATCGTGATATGTCATTTATGGTTTCGAAATGCATCCTTCTGGTTATTTTGTATCATGAGTGTGCAAAATCTAGTTTGTATATCATTGGATCGAGTGAGTTCTGTCCTATTTCTTAGATCACTTAAAGCATTTACGAATAGATTTTTCGTACTATACTTTCTTTATATGCTCAGTATGTTTTTAATTTTGTACATACCTACACCACTCCTTCGTCGTTACGCTGATAGCCAATGTGTTATGGATTTTTCATTCCCTTGGATTCAAACAACAGCATTTCTTGATTATATTGTATACTCCTGGGTTGTGTTCGCGTACTTTGTGCCAGTTTTAGTTATGTTGATCAGTCATGCATGGGTCATACATATTATTAAGAAATCTCAATCATTACGTCATAGTGATGCATCACAAAATGTGGAGTCTAGTTTGCAAATTAAGCGTACAGTGATTCAGTTAGTTATTACAACAGCAATAATGTCATGTCAACAAGCTATATTACACTCATTTGAATGCATAAGTCAAATATTAATCATATGTGAAGTTGTGGTTTACACTTATGGTACTCCGATTGAACAAATGGGTACAATACTTATATTGTTTGGATGTTCTTCTAATCCATGTATTCTTATCTTCAGCACAACTACACTGAGAAGATATTTATGGTCACTAATTAAAGGTAAAAAACAAAAAACGTCCAGTATTGAAACATACGGGCAAACAGAATATAATCAGCACTGAAAGTATATGAATATATTAATTTTAATCATCGTCTAAATCAATAATACTTACCACATTATAATGAATGTTGTACAGTGAGTGAACTGGATTTCCTGTTGTCCTGTTATTGACGAAAGTATTTTTCTGCTGCCAAAGCACAATCTACTCATCTATATAATTTAATTTTCTAATAACACTGTTTGTCTATTGACTATTGTGCCTGTCTGTAATCTGATTGACCTTAGTAGTATTTGTTACTTGACATACATTTTTATATATCTGAATTAACTGTCATATTCGCGTCTATACATCAAATCAGTAGTAGTTATTTCACTCAGTTGTTCCTGGTATTTTCTAATAGTCATTATTATCATTGTTTTAAATTGAACAAAAAAATCTACACCATTAGACTTATAAATCTTATTCTTCAAATGATAGTTTAATAACAATTTTGTTCTTCATAACTGAACATTTCGTGATTGGTTTTATCAAACAAATAAGACTGAATACTTACGTTACATGACAAGCATTTCCTTGCTGCTAATTGCTTCAGGTTTTTCACCTGCTAAGGTGGTCAATTAAAGCATAATAAAACAAAAAAGTCGAAAACAGTATCAAGTGTATTTACTCTTATTTTAGTGTGAATATTGACTTCTTTGTTGTCCTGTATTTGTCCACTGGAAAACAATCGTTATGTTGGTTTCGCCAATGATTTTACTCCGATCGGAAAACGACGCGATATCACTAGAAATAATGGCACATAACACTACAGACTGTTTATCCTTATTGATTGTATTTTTAAGTTAGAGGAGAAATGTCTAGTACTGTTGGTGAAGCTACTGTCAGTATTTATTGACACAGATATGAGTCTAAAGCTCGAAATAAATAGGTTGCGAATATCATGTGAAAATGATATTAAATGCTAAGTAAAGAGACACGTCGTCTAAACCTGACTACTTGAGAAGCTCGTACCAATTATAAAGCAAGTAAATTAGATTCTTAGCTTCATTGTTCAAAACGGATGCATTGCGTAACTTGACTAAGGTAGTCAGAATAACGAATTGTTACTTAACTCGAAAAATTAAAGTATTTGTTTAAACCAGCCTCTTAATTGAACTCTTACAGAAATGCATTTTCTATTTGTTACAGAGGCAAAGAGATAGACAGATAATACTGAGTAGAGTTTTCTTGATTTGACACAACTTCGAAGTTGCATTGGATAAATTTAGACGTGTAAGACAATTACGGTTCTATACTTTTGTAGACTAAGAATATTCACTATTTTCCCTTTGACTGCAATCGGAACCGTAATGCGAGGAGGAAGTATAGGGTTGTGGTGACGCGATTCGAAGATAGGAATAAAGAAGTCATGCCAAACAACGAAGGTGATGTTTTACACATTCTCTCGATTAATTCGAGATCATTGGGTATCAACGTTTAGTGTGGTGTTCACTTTATTCTATGAACTATGAGCTTTCGTTAATGTAGAAATTACTGTAATGTTCCATCCTATTCCAAAATTGCTGCGACTTGAATGTGAGTTTTATATTCTATTTTTTTTATACTTTGATGTCCCAGTCGTATTTCTCTCATTCTTTGTGCGTTGAGGTCCTCCTGTTGGACATACGTCTTTAGATGTGCCTTCCCTCTCTCCACTTGTCAACCAATCAGATCATAGGTCATTGACCCTCAAGACCGTCCAGTCACAAGTCGAACTGATGTGTTCCAGGTCTCAAGCTTATATTAGGTATCCTGTCACGTCAAGGTTGTAGACTAGATCGGGACAACCATATATATACCCCTGCATATTAAGCATAAATTAGTAGACAGATAAATCAAGAGTGTTTATATTAGAATGGGTATTCGGTATGAAGCGGAAGTCTCAAAGAAAAGGAATTGTTAAGAAACCGTCAAAATTATAAGTTATAGGTGACATTTGTGTCCAAGTCCTTGAAATGCCAATTAATGTTCCATGTGGCCTTGGTTCCAGAGGGGTACTAGGTAAATATTTTCTAGATGATTCACAGTCATTTTTGAGATAATTAAATAGTGGTCTGCGATCTGTGAACAAGAAAATTGTCATTTAAAGAGTGGTGAAATACGAAGCTTGTTCTTTTGTACTCGTCATCTGATGACTATTTGGTAGAACATGCAAAGCCTTAGACTGGCAACAAAGTAACTCAAACTGATGTAGAAATGATGAAGGCTTAAGAATTTGTGGGTAAGTTTATACTGAATGTATATATCTTGTAGTACTATGCAAGCCCACATAGCTTCCAAACAGGCCAATCTATTCATTCTTCTTGAGTTACATTTTTGACCTTGTTATTCATTTGCTTATCAAACTTGAATGTTTTTCTGTGAGTGTATGTATGTGCATTTCTAATCGTACTCATCATATGTCTGTAACTTATTTTTGTTTGGCTATAAATATCGATTCACGCTTGGTTAAATTGAGTTGGCTAACACGCCTTCCTCACTGCGCGTCATTTTGTTTAGCTATTTTGTCTTCTCTTCGTTTCTTCGCTCGTTTGTCTGGATCAACGATTGTATGAAATATACGTATCGGAAATCCATCCTCGTATTTGGCTTATTTTAATTCTGTTATTCATTAACATGATTTATAGGAGGAGGATTGGCGACAATTATATTTCGACAGCAAGCATTTATTAACAATCAACCATACGATATAACTGGAGTCAGATCTCGGGCCACTAAAATCTTCAGGTTGTAGCACAGAACTGAAAGTCTTTGGTGTGTTTTATCAGTAAGCGGAACTCAGAAAATATTGTGGAGATAACGTTGGCGTTAAGCGAATTTGTTTTTGCGGTTATGGGCAGACTGAGTTGTAAGCAAGTAATAAATAGATAAGAATAATCATTTCTATGGTAAACCATATTTAGGCGCTATTTATTTCATACGAGAAATAATCAAGTAAGATGTTTGACAATACTGGCAATCAAGCTTGATTAACAATCATACTGGATGGGTAAGCTCTGGAGGAGATAATGGCCTTTTCCTACCTGGGCATCATCATCGATAAACAAGGAACTGATGCAAATATGGAGGCATAAGGCACATGTAGATTCCCTACAATTAAAGAATATCAGTAAAAGGTTTTGGAGATTATTGAGATCATAAACCGACCAATGCTAGATCACCATTGAAAACTTGCAAGCACTGGACAGTTGTTTAGCCCTAGTATGTAACTCTTAGAAAGTGAGTATTCACGATCCTGTAAGTGGGACTCGGACCCAGGACTATCGGACTTGCCGCGAGAGGTTATTCTTGGGGTTCTAGTGTGAAGCCGTGAGCAGTGGAGTTAAATCGTGTCGGGCGTGAGGTAATTACTCACCCAAGACAAGGGAAGATGGTCGCGCAGGATCACAGATTGGTTTATTTTGGACATTTATGCCTTTGGATGACGGCTCAGTGGTCTAGAAAATAAGCGTTTGCACTTGGTTTCTCATCATCTAATTACAACCATATATGTTTGGGAATGTAACATCGAGGTAAGATACAGTATGAAACAGCTGGCACTGATGACGGAAAGAATTAAAACGACAAGAGTTATCAATAATATGTAAATATATAAACCCTCCATACTTAGGTCTGTTAGCTCCACCCTCACCGGTGGTATAGCATAGGCCCTCTACAAGCATTCTCTATCAAACACTGTCCTGGACAATCCTTCACACTTGTGTCCAGTTGCTATTCATACTTTTCATGCCTACTTTCAGTTCTCGTCTCAGGGTGTTATTTGACCTTCCACGTTTCCATTTCCATTCACGATTACAAGTTAGTACATGTCTCGGGATGTAGTTTGGTGATTTCCACGATGTGTGTTCTATCCACCTCCAAATATCGTTTCTTAATTTCCTCATCAACTGGAAGACGGTTTGCCCTCTACCACAGTAGTCTGTCAGTGATGGCATCAAGTCAACGAACATTGAGTATCATTCGTAGACAATTGTTCAGATACACTTGCACATTTTTGATGATGGTTGTGGTAGTTCTCTAAGTTTCAGCTGCATACAGTAGAACTGTGCTGACATTCGTATTGATGATTCCGACTTTGATATTGGTTCACAGTTGTTTTGCGCTCCACATGTTTTTCAACTATAGGAATGTTGCCCTTACTTTGAAAATCCTTGCATTCACGTCTGCATCGGATCCTCCTTGTTCTTAGACGATGCTGACCAGATGGGTACGTGAAAAATTCCACCTGTTCCAAAGTTTCTCCATCAAGTGTGATTGGTTTGGTGCTCCCCATGTTGTATTTGAGGACGTTGCATTTCCCTTTGTGTATGAAGATGCCGACTGCTTCAGAGAATAATGCTACACTGGTTGTCTTTACTCGGATTTGTTAGTGTGTATGGAATAGGTTGGTTAGGTGATCTGTGAAATGCGAGTAGTCCAGTCTCATCAAAGCTATCCACTGTTTTCCGTGCTTCTCCTCAGATGTCGAGGTTTTCATAATCCAGTCAATCACCAGAAGAAAGAGAAGGGGGGGAGAAAGACTAGGCAGTGGGCAAAAGTTCTCACCTAGCTCGGTCTAAAGTAATTGAGTTTAAATAAGAACACTCTTACGATACTTACTTACGAATGCCACGTGTGAACGATTGGAAGTATTTCAAGTAATTAGTTCATTTGATAAATTTGCATAGTGTAATTAGTGGACGAAGATGACCAGAACTATGTGATATATCAGCGCAATACATTTCGAACAATCTGATCACACATATATATATAAGAACATCTATATTTGGGAAATAAAAGGTTAACTAGACTAGAAGTTGAGGGTAAGAGGAGACAAAGATAATAAAGAAAATAATATGAAAAAAACAATGTGAAAAAATCGTCGAGATGGATAATAAGTTAATATTACCAGAATAGGTTTGAGATGAGAATTTTCGTATGGCTAATGCTTCAATTAACTTTAGTATACACGTTTTTACATATTTATGCAATCCACAGAACTTATGGATTTATTACACTCTGCTGCGATATTGGTTCTTTCT